CACTCCACTATATCTTTATATAGATAATAGTTGTTTGCTGCTATATTAATGCTCTGAATGTTGGTCCCTAACAAATTGAAAGCATGAACAACTTTTTCATTTTTTTATTTAATTCGCCCAATTCATTTAATTCGGCTTTTAATTGCATTCAACACATGATTTATAATGACATGTTTGCAATTTTCAGGCATTTCATCACAAGAAATGGCCCCAATACATGCAAAGTTTCATAAAAGGAGATAAAAAGATGACAAATAAATGAAAAAGACAGATAAGGGGGGCAATTATTAACCTAGCAGGCATTAAATAAAAATGAAAAAGTCCTCACAAAAGGTAATTGTAGCTAGATCCAGATTTCCTGATATTTCTCAACCTCAATTATTAATAAAACATTGTTTTGCATGTGTGACATAAGCGTTTCATCATCTATCACCTGCAACACTTCATGAAACATTCAAAACGTATTACTTTATGCAATAGGACCTTGACAATCATGAAAACTGTTGTATGTGCTTTGCTTTTGTTAGAACCTTTGTTAAGGCCTTTGACACAAGTGTTCTATTTAACTGAGAAGGGGAGAAAGTAACTTCAGGCAACAAAAGAACCACATAACGTAGAGAACACACGCTCTATAAAGAGACAAGAATCACAACAGCCAGGAAAATCTATTTTTCAAGTATCAGGAAATGCATTTCAATTTAGTGATAACACAACATTCAACTATGTCAAAAACAACTTTGTGTGGAAAGAAATAAGTGTGATCATCCAATTTTTACCAGCACATTGAGCTATTTTTTAGTATAGCTGTCTCTCCTTCAACATGGCCACCTATAACCAGACAATGGCTGCTGTGTTGTAGGTGAGCAGCTAAAATAATTGGAGAAGCACAAGTGTTCCAAAATGCAACTAGTTCACTACATCAAGATGCAACAAAGGAGACAACTCTACCAATTCATGTTGTTAGCACATATTTCACAGATAATCATTTACACAGTGCAGCTGTTGTCCCCTTTGGACCAAACAAACACTGCAAAACGCCTCTCACATCCTGGTGGTAATTACCGTTTTCACAAAATGAGTCTGTTCTGGTTACTACTTTGTTTTCTGTAACTGTGACGGAATACAGTCACCTTTTTTTTGTATCCTAATTAGGAAACACTGTTCCATGTAATCATTACAACGTTATGGGTTGAATGCATTCAATCACATGGTACAGCAGTGGTTGTTGGAGCCACACCTGGAAGAAATCTGGAGGTTTCTCGTTTTAAACGTCAGTAATTACCGCTACATCTGCTGCCACGCTCGTGTTGAGTAAATTACATGATTTCAACATCTAAACTACCTGGGGGATGTTCTGGGACTCTTGTTCTTCTCAATATCAGTAATGTTTGCTTATTTGTAAAACACAAAACAAGTTGTAAGATATACATGTTTTTTATGTGGCTGAGACAAACTCGTATTCGGTAGTTCCCTCTCGATACTTGGCAAATCTTCCGGCAGATTTCCAAGGTCCAACATGTTCTTATTCATCTTAAACTGATATTAAACAAGATCAAATCCACGCTGTGTGTCTGCTTCTTCCAGTATACTGTGTGACTGGGGTGACTCACAGATTGAACATCAAATCATGACTGAAGAAGATTGAGAGCTAAAACGTTTCTTCCCTTCAGTTAGGCAACAAAATCCCATTTGTATTTGACTGCTGTAAGACACACCATCTATACTTCAGTCATGAGATGTTTTTCATATGACACGGCTCTTAAGATTTATAACAGGAGGGAGCTTAAGAACTCATCACCGCAACCTAAACAGGAAAAAGACACACTGCTTCACTGGGTTTTCAGATTGGCTTGTTTTGCAGATTCCCAGTTTCAAAAATTGAGCTCGGTAAAAGCTCCACTGAGAAGGAAAAAAGAACTGCAGCGGCATGTGGAATTGGATTACTTAATTTGAAGGGCTGATTGTGAAGTATTAATTGATGGCTCCAGTTATTAAACCTGCAATAGTATCTCATTATTTCCCTCTAGTTCATTGCCAAAAAACAGAACAAAGAGTTGACATATCTAAGTCAGTCGTGCAGGTGACACTGAGGTCTACGTTGCTACAACCTCAATACAAAAAATTACATTGTTAAAAAAAAAAAAAAGCAGCAACATCAAATGTATCTCTAACTGTGTCAGATAAAAGGCTGTGTTGTCCTGGTAAGGGTTCAATAATGGAAGCTTTCACGATGTTTAATCATCACAGTAGAAAAATGCTTAAATATAAAAGCAACAGACATGACACTTCAATACGGAGTGACTTCAACTGTATGACCCAGTGATTATTTGGAGGGTTGAATTTAGCATGGTCCTTTTAGCTTAAGAAATCATTAAAGCGTACAATAAAGCTAGAGTATTAGAACATGGCTCCTAATCACATCCACTCTAATGACACCACCTATTTGTTCTGGTGCTGGAGAGAATGTTTTTTTCTTAGAAATAATATTCAACTAGGATTGTAGTGTTTTGTTGAAAAAAAACTCACATCAGAATATGTTTTTGAAAGAAAAGGGAATTGTTTACTGAAAATCATGCATGCACTCATGCATGCACACTTGGATATGAATCTCAACGAATGCAAACATTTGAATAAAAAGTGTTCGAGTCAAGGGAAATTCACCAACTGTTCTCCCTCACCCGCTGTATTCTCTGAATTTCCCTTTTTTGAGGCTTCTTACTTTTCTTTCCCGCTAAAATGTTTTAAAATTAATTTACTAAAATATAAACGCTTTATATATTTTCATCATTTTGTAACATATTTATAGAGGAGTACTTTATCACTATACTATAACTATGCTAGGTGTTTGTGTTGTTCCACTGTAATTACCAAAGAACATAATACCTCTGTGGTGATGACAATGTTTGAATTGGATCAAGTCAACTTCTGTTTGTGCTGAACAGCACAGGGACACGATGCTAATGATGGGCACAGTGGGCAGTATCTGCTCTTCTTCTCTCATCTCCATCAGCTTCTCTATTACTATTTATCTCTGTCTCATCTTGTCACATATCTCTTTCATCGCAGAGCTGAGCTCTGATTGTCAAGAGTCTTTTCATTTTCATGTGTCCCAGTGAAGAAAGTAAACACTAGGTTGAATGATATTTATATGCTAATGTACCAGCCTTTGCTAGAATAATCTTGAAAAGAAGAAAACAAGCATACAGGGCTACCTCACTGTAATGGTTTGACTTGACAAAAGGAAAAAAAAACTATGAGCTAATTGAGACATGTTGGTTTAATAACTCACATTCCCAAATGTCCCCACTCAAGCCACACTCAAGTGAATCCACGCGCACTTCAATTATTCAATTAATAATCAATTAATATCTTGCACGCAAACAAATAAATGGCTCAGCGAAGGTAAGCGTCACATGACGGTCAAGAATTGTACATACAGTATTCCTGTAAATAACACACCTGCTACACACCTATTTGTACCACCCACTGTGCACAAAGTGGAATTACCACAACACAAACTACATCATATAAATACACATATAATGAACACAATACAAAAATGGTCCCAACACACATTTTAAGATGAATTTCAACCCAAAAGGAATTAAAAGAAAAGCATTTCAATTTTGAATGGCATTGAACTAGAAGCAGTAAAAGTATCTAGTTACCTGAATCCTAATTCGCATGACTAATTCGCATGGTAATTTACATAATCAAAAAAAACACCGTGTTGAGTACATTTCTTTGCAGTAACGACAATGTCGTTCACTGCACAACACACCCACACAAGGAACGGTGATGATCAGATAAGCAACTTGGTCATTTTGGCTTTGTACAATATATTTTACTGCACCAAATGCAAGTTATTTTTAGTCAATTATTTAAAGGCATTATTATTATATACATCTTGGGAAAAAAAAACACAGAGGTCCAGACCTCTTAGATCTCTGGTGGGTATGGCGATCATCATCACTCAACAACAACAGCAAGTTATGGCTGTCCGTCCATGAGCCTGGTCATGAGCCCTGTCAGCGGCATGCACTCTGATCTGGGACAGCAAGTCAGTCACTGTCAGATCGAGATAAGGAGTAAAGTATCCCCTGCATAGATTAGTCCTTGGCCATTATGTATTGGCCCTCAGCAGCAGTCAGAAGAACAGCATGCTAGGCTACAGCCACTGCACTTTTTGTTCAAGCAGCAGCATCGCAGCGGTAGTCTGCTTCAGACCTTTTGATGGATTTGGCATACGTGATGAACTGCTAGAAGATAATGGAGTTTGACTGAAGCTTAGCCTGCGCTGGTGGTGAGTGAAGGGGGCATAAACAACTCTGATGGAAACGTTCCTGTGTTTTCTATATCAGTGAGTTTGTAGCTCATCAGGGTAACTGCATGGCGTGTCAAAGAGTTATAAACGCTACTCAAATCCCACTAAGCCAAAACTCATTTAAGTAAAATGATTATGAGCTCCCCAAAATACATGATGGGGTATAATGAGGAAAAAATGATTCCTATATCTGGAATGCATCGTATTTCTGTAAAACAATGCGAAATGACGATGTTAACACTAGATCAGTGAAATAAAAGATGACTAAGTAAAGAAGAAGTTCTAAAGCATCTGCTTTATATAACAGTGGCTGGCAATCACTTAAGGGACTCACTTGAAGCGTGTCTGTGATTTGATATGAAAATATAATCAAAGAATTTCTCTTCTCTTTTCACATTCTTTTATTCCTCTCACCGTCTTTATATTTCCCCATGCATCGTCTATGGAACTGTCTAACATATGCAGCGGAACATCATGCCTTTCTTTTGTGGGGCTGAATAAGACCATTGTGAAAATTCACAAAGAGCGACCGAGCTGCGACAGACCATAAAAATACTATTTTCTAAAGCGTTAAATAATGCACGTATCCAATCTTTAGTACTATACCTTGGGCAATTTTCTCTCTCTCGGCTGAGTTTTTTTTTGTCATGAAATACTTCTTTATGGTGTTTCTTACCTTGCCAATTTTTCTGGGGAAGGGAGCTCTCTGGTTCTCAGTTACGATCATAGGAGGGATCAGCAGGGATCTCTTTGATCTGAATGGCAGCGTCTGGCCGACACCCAGGATACCCTAAAACACAAAGAAGAGAAACCATACTGTTAAACTTTGAAATAAGAGGGGTCGTTGTGGAGCGTTTTTGAAACCAACCCTACCCAAAATGACTTGTTAGCATATTGTTAGCCATTACCCTCATCCCCACCGACGAGGCATAAACACAAACACACACAGCAGGCAGTATAGTATGCATTTCAAAATGTTTGAACATATCTATATATATACCATATATATATATTTTTGATGGCAGAGCGGTGGGTGCTATATAATACAGAATACAAAGATTGTGTTTGATTTATTCAGCCCATGTGTTAAATAAGGACATGGGAAAAAAGTAGAAAAAAACAACAACAACAAAGCATTAATGCAAGAGCAACCAAGACGAAAAGAGGTGGTTAAAACTGAAGAAATGAGAGATGACAAGGTTTTGGCAGAGCAGTTGTGTTGTTCATGCAGGAGGAGCCAATCCGAAATGTAATTGTTGCTCATGAGAGCACAATAGCATAATATAATTTCATCTTCCACCCTCCCGCTGTTGTCAACAAAGACGTGGTTGTTGCTGTATAACATAGCGAGAGATTTCTCCCACTCTTCTTCACGTTCACATCCCTGATACACTCAGGGCCCCTCTGCTTGGATTGTGATGAAAATAATGTCTGTCACTGACACTATAAGCCGGCTGTTAACATGGAGGTGATGACCCACAGGGGGGGGCAGGCTGTCCACCGTCTGCACACCTGGACACGAGCCGAGAGGAGACCACAAATACACACACAAAATGCCCTGCCTTGCCCATATAAATATGTCCATAAAACATGCTTATGACACATGTGTTATGATTGATATTAACATGAATTTCAATAAAAAAGACGTACATTTTGCCTCACATTCTCTAAGTTTTGTTTCATTGCCCTTTGTTCTGCTCTATTTATGTCTTTTACGATCTACTATTACTCCTGATCTCCCAAAGTAATCGGGTCAGAAGAAAAGCCATTAACGGCATAGAGAGCTAATCTGCCACCCGCTACCAAACAGGTCACACAATCACAGAGACTTGTATCTGCTAGTGTCCATGTTTAGTTGTTATTGTGTCAGGTAAAGTGTCTCTTACAAGGATGAAGCATGAGTGAAGAGAATGGTACAGTACATGCAAATTATAATAAATACCTTCTACAATATAGAGACTACAGCAGATAATACCCGATAACAGTTTGCCTCTGATTTGGTAAAACATATTTATTGTAAACACACAGTAAAAAGAAGTACCTACAGTGGGAGAAGTTAGGGTGTACAATGTGTATCATTAGTGATACGTGTCTTGTCTTCTATCATTGTTCTTCTAATGCGTGTACTCCAATAAAACACCCACATTAATAGTAAGAATGTTATTTCTCTGGTTTACACTCCTCACACAAGGTTCCTTGTAGAGCCTCCATCCCTCAGTTCACCCAATACAAGAGCATTATATTTGGTATGATTGATCTGGGGATAATAATCACCTTTCAAACTGAAATCCAATTGCATGCCTTGTTTTTATTTGTGGTTCAGCACACTGTACATATCTGCTCTGTTAGTGCACGTCCTATGATCTCCCTTTGAGAACATTCCAAACCCAAACAACAGACATTTATATTTCACATCTTTTCATTTTCTCCACTTTTATTTTGGCCGCTCTTGGTCCTGGGAGTAAAAGTTCCATTAATTTGTCCTATACTACAGTGTTAAGGGACTCATGGCTGGAGCACTTCTACGGCTTGTATCGGCATGAAACTCCTCCTGTTGCTACATCCTCAGTACAAAACATTAAGAACTGCTTTAAAAAAATATCGTAAAAACAAACAAAGAAACACTGCTAACGGTGAGTGGAAGCTAAAGATGATGGTGTTGAGAACACTGCCTCATTTGTGGGTGAATTGGTGTGGTGGTGTGAATGACCAACGGCAGCTGAGGCTCATGGGTATTTTAGTATATCGACCCGTCCACCAATCCAACATGATGGACAAAAACATGATATCTAAGAAACAAACTAAATGGTGGTCATCACATAATCCTATAGGGCTGTTACATCATCTGGGAGAGTCCTGTGTTTCTGTTTTAAGATAACGTTAAGGAGATTAGTTGAAGAACAAACTGAAATGGGAATAAAAAAGGGGAAAAACACTTCCAGAACCAGCAGCCCCTCCCAACTCTATAGGCAGAAGTTGTTTCATAAAGCTAATCAAACCTTTGCATGAAGGAGTAATGCCACGTTCTACAATAGGCAGACGGTCACACTTCACTAACAGCCAGACAGCTGAAGTCTCCTTCTTATTTAACTTGCAAACATGGACATGCGTTCAATGCAGTGTCTTGGTTTGCTGAACGAGCAACCAAACGAACATCCACATAACTTCAGTTTGCATGCTAGTTAGGTAATTGGCTCGCAACTTACCTAGCTAGCTAACGAAAGCTTAGGCCAGCTTTATTTAATGTCATTTCAGTCTGTTCGGATTGTAATATGGTTCCTATCACTCATTGCCACCGCTAACAATACACTTTCCTCCCAGGACTTGTAAGCTTTACTTTCCTGACAGTTTGTTTACTTTCTCTCTCTTTCTCCTGCCAGAGCTCAGACATTGAAATGATCCTCCAGAGGCGTTGCAGAAAAAGAGCATTTATCAAATTTTTCATGGGACATTTTTTTCCCTTCCTTGATATTTGACAGCAAAATGGATGACTAGATGGGATTTCAGTGGGACTTTAACAGAGAACATTCTTTAACACTAATCTGATCTGCCCGATGCAACCACGGTCCATTGTCCACACAAAGGCAGTCGCTGCCTAAATATTGAGCAAAATGACAGAACAATGAGAGTGAAAGAAGCAACACAGCAACAAGCCTAGTCGTTGAGCCCCGGTTACAATCATTACACACTTTCAAAAATACCGACCGGAGGTTTTTGTGGTTTCATTTGCAATGCAAATAGTCTCCTTTGTCCTTCATCTTTTATAGCCTACTGTACAATCCTTTATTGACAACGTGCACTGCACACAGCCGCGGTTGTGTGTATGTGTGTGTGTGTGTGTGCAGACTGTTTGCATGTTTACTGTTCACACTCCTGTTCTTGGCTGACAGAGACTCTGGCACCACTCTCACCCCTGTCAGAATGACGGAAAGAGAACAGGTAAAAGGGAAAAACGGGGCCGTTTGTTTACAGCACAGTGTCGACATGCAGACAGAGAGGGCACACCCCCCCCACACACACACACAAACACCCCACACCTACAAAGGTCAAAGGGAACACAGTGACATAGTAATCATAAACACAACCCGACCAGAACAAACCAAAGACACACACAGCAGTCTCTGAAATGACCACTCTTATCAAACCCACTGAGGGATGACCTTCCAAATGTCCGAATCTAAAATTGGACCTGAAGCGGTGAAACAGAAAACTGCACCAAAGTGTGAGCGATTATGAGATCTATTTGTGTCTAAAGAGCACAGGCAGTGGTGTGTGTACATGTATGTGACCTGTTCACAAGCCAGCTGATGGACTTTTAAGCACTGCCTGTGAAAAGCCCGGCCTGAGTCTGAAGCCCAGGGATGAGCGAATCAATCCCATCATGCACAGGTCTCAGCTGTGGGATATTTGTAAATCAGGGGAGGGAGAGCTGGGAGGCAAACAGGTACCGTGAGGTATTTTAAGGGGCTGAATGAGGGGACTGGTGACAGGGGTTAGGGCTGAGATAGATCATGCTGTCAAATCCATGTCTTCACTGAGCAGAGATACAGTGGATAAGGGGAGGGAGTGATGGCGCTTAAAAACCTATCATTGTTCTGCAGGTGGCTCAGGACGGCGAGACGCGCTGACAAACGTGTTCAGCTGGCCATCAGGACGGCTCGCCACTGGGGTTTACTGGATAAGATAACTTGCAGCCTTATTTTGCATCCTCTCACCTTTTCACCTGCCACTTTGCAGCTCTCCCTCGTTCTGTCCTCCCACTTAGCAATAGCCGTTCTTCACACTTTCTCTCTCTCTCTGCAGTCTGCTTCTGTGATGAATAGCGTTCGTACAGCTTGGTGACACCCGGAAGAAAAGGAAGCCGTGAATCTTTAATGTGTCCTGTTCATAAATTACTGCCGCACCATCAACCCTGATCCACCCTTGATACATTTGCTTCTCTCTCTGTCTCTGTCTGTCAAATGATCATTAGGGCATCCGTGTGTACTGTGTTAAAAGTGTCGAGACAAGAAAAAAAAAAGTCTCTTTAAGAAGATTGGAATATACTGGACGAGTCAAAAAGGAGGGCACATGTGTTTGCAGTGTTTCCATGCATACATACTGTACTACAGCATATGTATGGTTGTGTGTGTGTGTGTGTGTGTGTCCCTGTGTGTGTGAGGGAGAGAAAGACGGAGCCTTTGTCATTGTCACCTGAGCGTGCAGTTGCTGTGGCAGTAAAGTCACGTCCTTGTCCATTCTGCCATTTCCACTCTCAATGCTATATTGAAAAGTGTCATTACTCATTCCTGACAATGTGTTGGAGACCTGGTGAGAAATGGACAATATCAAGGCCAGCATCAGCCAGTGGTGACGGGGGTGCACAGCGAAGTGGAGTAAACTCTGGGATATGTCATGCAATCCGTCAGTTAGGCCAACTTATGTTAGTGTCTGCGGTATGTATGTAAATAAAACAACATGAATTCACTCACTCGCCTGAAAACGCGTCCCTCAATCTGGGTGTTGATGCGTCACACTTTGTTGAATGCGTCACACTTTGTTGAAGTATAATCAATGGAGCATAAACACTCTTCATCTTAGTCGAGCAGAATGCAGCCCGACACTGATGACAAATGCTTATTTTAAATATTCAATTAGCTGAATTAATTAATACTGCGCCAAAGTGATTATATGTGTGTGTGTGTGTACAATCGCACCTGCAGACAGTGGTGTCGAGTGTGCCCTGAAAATAATCCTGACCTAACTGTCTCAAAACAAGCTAATTATAAAAATGCAGCCATGCAAAACTGC